TGGCTGGCGCCTTAGCCGGTTGAGCTATAGGCGCCGAGCCTTCTTTTTTTTTTTTTGCAGTTTTTGGCCAGGGCTGGGTTCGAACCTGCCAGCTCTGGTGTATGTGGCTGTGTGCCTTAGCCGCTTGAGCTACAGGTACTGAGCCAAGGGCTCCTTTTTATTGCTGGACGAAAATGAGAGTTTCAGCTTTACCATTGTGTCCACCGACTTGCCAAAAGGAAGGTCCCTGTTTCTGACCAGTGGAGATGAAAGCTGTGGGTCTAGATTGGGCCTTCTCTAACCCTAACCTGGTAGGAATATTAAGGTGCTCTGGTATATATGCCTTGCAAGAGTAGATGTCTGGGCTTACCATTTAGCTTTTGCTGGCATGGTTGAGAATGGGGCCACAAATTTTCCCTATTTAATTTGACAGTTCTTAAAAAAATTTTTGTCTTGCTAGGTGGCCCCTTTTCCTGGTCCTCTCCCCAGAGAGGGCTTTTAGAGGGCTATTTTTGTCTGTGCCCCTTGTTATGGTCAGTTTGCTGACTTTTTTAGCCCATGTCTGGTATAACTGAAGCAAAGAGAAAACTCTGGGAACTCATTACCATGTTGTTCCTGAGGTCCTGATGTCCCTACCTTGTCTGCCTTCTTTTCTCCACCTTTTAGAGTACTCTTATATTGGGAATGCCCGTACCTCAGTGAGTAGGGCACCAGCCACATACACCGAGGACCATGGGTTTGAGCCCAGCCTGGGTCTGCTAAACAACAATGACAACTGCAACCAAAAAATAGCCTGGCGTTGTGGTGGGCACCTGTAGTCCCAGCTACTTGTGAGACTGAGGCAAGAGAATTGCTTAAGCTCAAAGAGTTTGAGGTTACTGTGAGCGGTGACACCATGGCACTCTACCAAGGGTGAGACTCTGTCTCAGAAAAAAAAAAAAAAGAATACTCTTATATTGGTTATATATATAAAATGTCCAGGATTTTTAGTTGTATTTAGCAGAAGGAATAGGGAAAAGTTCATTTACTCTATTGTTCTGGAAGCAGAAGTCAGATGTTTGGTAAGAATATTTTATAAAATAAATTAATGGACGACAGAGGACTTTTCCTATTGGATAATTAAAGGGTACTATAAAACTATTATAATTGAAAGTGTTTGTATTGACATTAGAAGTAAAAGTGTAGAAAAAGATCAAGTATCTATAGACATTTAAGGTGTAATAGAGGAGCCACTTCAGATATGTGAGGAAAAGATGGACTATTTAGCAACTGATACTGCATATTCAGCAAATGGATATTAGCCATTTGGAAGAAATGGAAGTATATGTATTACAAATAGACAATAGACAAAGGACCTTTAATACTGATAGATCCTACCGATTCATTTGAAAAACATTATTCAGGGTGGCACCTGTGGCTCAGTGGGGAGGGTGCCGGCCCCATATACTGAGGGTGGTGAGTTCAAACCTGGCCCCAGCCAAACTGCAACAAAAAAATAGCTGGGTGTTGTGGTAAGTACCTGTAGTCCCAGCTACTCGGGAGGCTGAGGCAAGAGAATCGCCTAAGCCCA